ACCTAGCTATAAATGTAAATACATTGAGACTTCCTTCAATTACAGCAAAGCAGCTTTGTACATAATGTTCTCAAGACACAGAGGACAAAGGAGACACTGGGAGAATTTGGGCATGGTTGTGATTGTGACATAGACAGAAGACTCTTCTCTGTTCTCCAGGAAAGGGCACAAGAGAGACCAAAATAGTCTTTCAGATGGAGGTGACTCCAGGAGTCTCCCTCAGCTCCTGTGCCATGCCTGCCTGCCTGTTGGTCTTTAAAGGTCACAGATGAAGCTCATGATAATCCATTCTAGAGCAACACTGACAACTCCCTCTTTCCATCTGTGCCACCTGCTTGGTGGTGTAATTTATTATTGGCATTTAGGGGCCTTGCCTGTTAGTTGGCCTGTACTTCTCTTTTTCCAAGTTCCAAGGAGCTGCCCCCAAATTCTAGTGTTCTGGAGTTCAGCGAACATGCAGTTTAACCTGCTTTACTCTTAAGGCTTTACAGACAAACTCGAATCTCCAGTTTTTCCAGCCTGGGACTAGTCACACTTTGACTTGACTGGGTGGCAGCACCCAGTTTCTCTGAGTATCTTGTCCTTTTCAACATGCTATTACATGTTGAATGCAATGTTGGGTATGTGGAAGTACCATAATTTTGCAGAAGAACAGGCACTGGAATACTATTATCTAGATACAGGGATCACCAAAAAGTAGGTGCTACTGGCAGCTCTCCTGTCTTGCTCACCACCCAGACATGCCTGGCACAGAGCAGCTATGCCACGAAACTTGTGAAATGAGTGTCTCTTAATTTCAGCCACCAAGTGATAAACATCTAGGTAGGCATACAGCCATACACACACACACACACACACACACACACACACACACACACACACACACAAAGAAACAACACAAAGAAGACCTTCCAAAACTAGACGCTGTTATTTTTTCCTCTAAGCAACATTAATCCATCTGCTTTGCAGGAGCTTTCCCTTCACACCCATTCCTTTATCTCCATTCTAATCAGTCTAAAAAATCTAACTACAGCAATGCCTCTTAACTGGGGCTGCTGCGTTTGAGATCTTAGCCCTCCAATCTGTCATGTACCATGATTCTCCTCCCATCACTTTTCAGCTCTTTGGTCTTTATCAGTTTTAACATTTTGTGCACACCCATATTTCTGTCACTCTGATCTCATCTCATCCTCCCTATGCACTGACATCCAACTGCCCCTTGTTGTTCCAAGTGCACTCTTGGCAGCCTGGGATTTGAGACCCCTGGCTGTACCCTCTGAATCTCACCTTCCAAGACTCCCACTCAGAATCTGTCTATTCTAGACAGCTCTACCTCTTCAGCACTCCCAAACACACATTATTTATTTCCCACTTGAGTGTTCAACATCCTTTTCCCTTTATTCTAGTTTCCCAAATTCTGTACAACCTTCAGGGTCCAGCTTTGGAAGATGTTTTCCACCCTTTCAGTGGGTCCAATGGAGCTCCTTTCGGAAAATAAGATTACTCTAATGCTGTGCCAGATGTTAAAGCAAGCAGTTTTGTAATATGAGGTCCCCAGAAAGTGTGCCAAAGCTACTGAGGTTCTTGGGGTTGAAAGTCTTAGAGGAAAAACAGATACGCCATTAGGCACTGCCTGATTGCATCTCTTTTGCCCTCATCATGTTCTCCTTGGCTGGCAGATATTATTTTATTCTTATTTCAGCCAGAAGTAATTTATTACTTTTTTCCATTGAAAAAAGCTGCTTTAAAAATGCCTCCTGGCCAGACACGGTGGCTCATGCCTATAATCCCAGCACTTTGGGAGGATGATGTGGGCAGATCATTTGAGGTCATGAGTTTGAGGCTAGCCTGGCCAACATGGTGAAAGCCCGTCTCTACTAAAAATACAAAAAAAAATTAGCTAGGTGTGATGGTGGGCACCTGTAGTCCCAGCTCCTCAGGAGGCTGAGGCAGGAGAACTGCTTGAACCCAGGAGGTGGAGGTTGCAGTGAGCCGAGGTCACACCATTGCACTCAAGCCTGGGTGACAAAAGCAAAACTCCGTCTCAAAAAAAAAAAAAAAAGGCTCCTGAGGTGGAGTTGCCAGGTTCTGAAAGCTGATGTAAACAGACACTTCTGCTTGTGGCCAGATCTGTCTGGCTGAATTTGCACATGAACCGGCTGGTGAAAAGTCAGCGTTACACATTCACAAGAGCAGAGGCTTTCATCTGCTCTTGGAGTGAAGTCTTGTTGCTTACATTTTATCATTCGTATGATACAAAACAGCTTTTGTTTTCATTAAATACAAGGGATGTCCCATTCAGGGGATTCTGCAAATGATAAAGGCTAAAACAATGTCTCCCCAAATCTGTAAATACACATACAGTGATACAATTGATACAAATGGCATTTGGTGACCACAGCCGGAGTAAGTTCAGATGAATGCAATAATGGGCCCCATTTTCTCCTGCTAGACAGGGGTGTGGGTCACCCATGGCAGGCCTTAGGCTGGTTCCAAGGAAGGCTTTGGAGATAATTACAGAGCCCACTGCTATTAGGTGGTAGCGTGTGGTGGTGGACAGTGAAGACAAAGTTCTATAGCGCCCCCTGGGGGGGGGCACAAATGTCAAGAAAGGAGGGGGGATCTGACCTGGTGAATCAGTTTGTACTTGAGGATGCTGAATCCAGGGAAAAGGGAAATAAAAGAGTAACACGGGGAGTAATATACTGTATGTGTACACCAGAGGTCCCATTTCTTGATTTGATACATTTTTGGTCACAGTAACACTTAACATTCCTTCATACCAACTGATCCTATGCACACACACACACACACACACACACACACCCCAGTGATATAGTTGATGCAAACAGCAAACAACAATTTATATATGTATAAGATGGGGTTGGAAAGAGATTAACTAGACAAGAATCCCATAAGCTGTTACATAAAAATTTAAAACGGAGTGAGTATCTCAATATGGGAATGGCTGAGAATCCGTCCTAATCACAGAATATTATGCAGTCATTAAGAAGAATTAAATAAGTCTTTAGGGTTGACTCAAGGGATTTTTTACTATATACTATATATTGTTAAATGAGGGGAGAGAAGGGCATAGAACATTCCACTTGTTAAATCCTATGTGCGTGTTAAAAGCTGTTGAACACATCAGTGTGAACAATGTTAGCTTAATGGATGAACCAGAAGGGAAACAGGGAAGGAACAGGATGATAGAAAACAAACAAAAGTGACTATTAAAAGTAACAGGCTATTTAAAAAGTGAGAATTCTATTAAATTATATATATGTATATAAAATACTGGAGGCATTATCTCAGGGTGAAAATATTGCAGGTGATTTTTATATTCTGCCTTATACTTTTCAGCATTTTAAATAGGAAATATAATCATTCTATAATCAGAAATTACTATTTTCATTGAGGGAAAAAGTTGAATGATTCGATAATACTGGGAGGTTGGAAAATAATGTTTCTTAAGTCTTCCTAGCCGAAACAGGGCATATGGGAAAATTTTGCATCATTTATGACTAAAAGAGGTGTTTGGCCGGGCGCAGTGGCTCAAGCCTGTAATCCCAGCACTTTGGGAGGCCGAGGCACGTGGATCACGAGGTCAAGAGATCAAGACCATCCTGGTCAACATGGTCTACTAAAAATACAAAAAATTATCTGGGCATGGTGGCGCGTGCCTGTAATCCCAGCTACTCAGGAGGCTGAGGCAGGAGAATTGCCTGAACCCAGGACGTGGAGGTTGCAGTGAGCCGAGATCGCGCCATTGCACTCCAGCCTGGGTAACAAGAGCGAAACTCCGTCTCAAAAAAAAAGAGAGGTTTTCACAATCTTCTTCAAAATTGAGACAGACCACAAAGTCCAAAGTTAATAATCATCCTAAATATCTTAAGCATCTTGAAGGCAGGGCCTAAATCTAATTTTTAACACAGTTTCTCATTGGCCTAGAATGTTCTGAGTCACTCCTCATTAATTGACAAGCACATTTCAAATCCCATCAAAGATGCTATTGTTTGATATACAAATCCTATTAGAGAGTAAAATCTCATCTAAAAAAGAATACCCATGCTGTAGCAGCTCCAATGAAAACAATTTAACTATGAAATTTAATCTGCCACAATGGAAGTAATACAACTCTAACACACAATAAAATTTGTTTACCTGCTCTGTTGATGTTAAATGTGTCCACTTTTGTTACCTGCATTCCTACAGTCTCAGGGCTGCCTTGTATCTACATGCCCACCTCAATGACTGTCCGCTTGATACCATTACCTTCTGCTTGTTTGTTTTTGAGATGGAGTCTCACTCTGTCACCAGGCTGGAGTGCAGTGGTGTGATCTCAGCTCACTACAAACTCCACCTCCCAGGTTCAAGTGATTCTCCCACCTCAGCCTCCTGAGTAGCTGGGACTACAGGTACATGCCATCATGACTGGCTAAGTTTTGTATTTTTAGTAGAGACAGGGTTTCACCACGTTGGCCAGAATGGTCTCGATCTCTTGACCTCATGATCCACCTGCCTCAGCCTCCCAAAGTGCTGTGATTACAGGCGTGAGCCACCGTGCCTGTCCAACCTTCTGTTTCTTACTGAAGATACAAGAGTAATGACATTAGCTACCAATCATCATAAATAATTTCCAGGCCAGGCCCACCTTCAAAACTCTAAACAGCCTGTGAAAATTCTGACATGCAATTTGCAATTGCTTTGCAGAGTGGTACAACTCTTTCCTTCATTCTAGGCCTGCTTTCTCTGCAGGGCAGTGAAAGTGCATGCTGTGTGGAGAGTTGCTCTGGGAAAAGCCATGGAATAGCCTGTCCAGGACAACAGGCACCAGGCCCTCATGGGGTGGAGGTGAGCTGTGGCTGCTGCCCTGGGAGGCCGGGCACCTGCACCTGGCTGTAGGGGCCTCTTGCATGTCATTCTTTTAAATAGTAACTGGCATTAGGCAACATAAAAACTAATTTTACACATCTAACCTTTTCAAGTAAAATACTTACCTGAACCAGCAAGTGGCCCGAATTAGGCAAACATGTACCACATTTCTTGGTGCTCTCATTTATTTGCTTTACCAAATTTATCAGTATTTCCACAGCACCTTTGCTGATCATTTCATTAAGAAATCCTGGATTTCCAGAAATGAACTTTATAGACCCCATACAGTATAAAAAAGCTTCCATGTTCATTTGCAGGTCTTCACTTCTTAGTACCTCCAATAATGATTCTGTCAAAAAGATTAATTATTATAAAGGTCTAACACCTGGAGAGAAATATACTAAAGCACTTGTGTGTGAACTTCAAATAGAATTTGTAAAATATGTTTATCAAAATCTACATTCAAGTGCTTATTAAGAATTACTCATATAGTATAAAGAGAAAAGCTTACTTTTAGCTAAGACAAATCTCTGTAGTAGCAATTTCAGCAAAAGGATGGGATTGTTAACAAATGAGAAATTATTCTTTCAGTTACTGTAATTCCTTGCCTCATACTAATTATTTATTGGTCTTTCCTTGTTATAAAATTTTTGAGATATAGAATACTAATAAATTCAAGAGTTAAATTACAACAAACCTTTAAGAATATACTGTGGCTGTATTACTAGTGGGAAACTAATGACAGGGGCTTAAAACAAAGTCTCAATCACCATAGAAAAAGATAACTTGAATATAATACCTATCCGTTTCCCAAGACAACTTAAGAGCATCTATTCAAATAACATACCACTACTTGGTTTTATGAGTAATCCAGGTAAATCCAATAAGGTCAATAATAATGCATATTTCACATTTAATTATATTAATGTCAATTTAATCATTTGAGATTATTATTTTCAGTCTACAATTTTTATTTAGTCGATTCAACATTAGACATTTCCTTCAGTACTGGTTTTGTTCCTGTCTGCTAGGGGCAGTGAAAAGATAATTCATCCTATGTTGCAAAAAGAGAACTCAAAGTATTTTCCATGTTGCTGTCTTTTCTTATATCAGCAATATTAATTCATAAAAAGATTTCCATTTAGGTAACAGGTGCCTTAATTATTTAGAAATACAACAAAAGTTAGGCATTAGCTAGATAAGATGTAATAAAACTTCCTTACCTACAAATTTGAAACATTTCAATGTCAGATTTCTATAACAGTTACAGATGTCTTTCAACTTTTAGTCATTCCTAGTATATCAAAAGACTAAAATTTTCAATTACATCAAATACTATTAAATGCATTTTTCTAGATATTAAATCCAAGTCCAGGAATGAATTCTTAAATGGGGAACACTTTGTAAAGCCACATAATGTTACTACAGGTGTTGAAGGAAAAGAGCAAATGCATTCAACTGAATGTGGAAAACAGCGAAGCACAAAGTAAACATTAGCATCAGATAACTTCTGCATTTTTCTAGAAAACAAAATATTCCCACTACATTGATCATATATTTTTCTCTCCAGACTTTTAATTTTTATGCAAGTACATTTGCTCAATAATAGCACTGAATGACACTCACCCAGAATGCTGTCATTTTGAATCAAAGAATCATTCTTCTCATTCCTGCTAATTTTAAATATAAGTTTGCAGACATTAAGAAGATTGTTTCTACTCACTTTAAGCTGCAGAGAAAGAAACACATCTCTGTTGCAGAAGGAAATAAAGACATCCTGTATTTTTTAAAAAATTAATCACAAACATCTATTTTTAAAATACAGCAAGAGTATTTTTAAACATGAAGAAAAGTTCTAAAGAAATAAACTTTGAAAAATTTAGATTACATCTTTGCTAACTGTAATAGCTAATTAACTCAATTATAGTAAAGACAATATAAATGATCTTTAGAGTAAAACATTATAATGACAGATCTTGGCGACTGTGAATAGTGCTGCAATAAACATAGGAGGGCAAATATCTCTTTGATACAATGATTTCCTTTCTTTTGGGTATATACCTAGCAGTGGGGTTACTGGATCATAGGGTAGCTCTATTTTTAGTTTTTTTTAGGAACCTCCAATCTGTTCTCCATATTTATTTCTTCATAAAATCTCTCTTTCTTTTTTCTTTTTTTCAGAGAAAGTCTTGCTCTTTCATCCAGGCTGGGGTGCAGTGATGCTGCCATCACAGCTCACTGCAGCCTTGACCTCTTGGGCTCAATCGATCCTCTTCCCTCAGCCCCCAGAGCAGCTGGGATTATAGGCATGTGCCACTGTACCTGGCTAATTTTTTTAAACATCTTTGTAGAGATGTTGCCCAGGCTAGTCTCAAACTAGCAGGCTCAAACAGTCCTCCCACCTCAGCCTCCCAGTGTTGAGATTACAAGGGTGAGCCAAGTCTCATATTTATATGTGCAATTATTAGCTCCTTTTAAAGGAGTATATGAGGAAGAAAGGGGTGCAGTATACTGTTAATAAATTAATTAGAGTAATTGCATTAAAACAGAAAAGAAGAGGAAGATGAATACCAAATTTTCACATTAATTTAGAAAGGAATACATAGTAGAGATGAAGCAAAGAAAAGAAAGGGGGAAGTTTTGATCTTTTTTTATCATTTGCATAAAAGAAAATTTAAATGTAATACTGTTTAATTTGATAATATACATATATTTCTTTTTAAGGCCGATTTCTGGGATGCTTTGAGATAATCACAAGTAACATCCAAAGTTGAAAATTACCTTCTAGGCCAGGTGCGGCAGCTCATGCCTGTAATGACAGCACTTTGGGAGGCCAAGGTGGGTGGATCACAAGGTCTGGAGTTTGAGACCAGTCTGACCAACATGGTGAACCCCGTCTATACTGAAAATACAAAAATTAGTTGGGAGTGGTGGTGCGCACCTGTAATCCCAGCTACTCAGGAGGCTGTGGCAGGAGAACCACTTGAACCCAGGAGGTGGAGGTTGCAGTGAGTCGAGGTCATGCCACTGCACTCGTCTGGGTGACAGAGCAAGACTCCATTGCAAAAAAAAAAAAATTACCTTCTAAATCATACAAAAATATCTACATAAATTAAACACAAGGTGGTAAGGAAATAGAGATACATATATTTAAAAAAGCAAAGTATAGGATGACTGAATCAGATGGTCTAAGTTAGCTGTGTATTTATCTAAACTAATAAAAAAGAAAAATTTCAAAAATCCTAAATATCCAGTATTAGGGAATAGTTTAATAAATTGTGGAGCATCAATACTATTCATATTAAGCAGTCACAAAAAAGCAGAACTGTGAACATGAAAAAGGGAAACATTTATAACCTACTGTTAGATGGAAATAATATGTGCCCTCATTGCAATGGTGTAAAAATCTATTTGTAGGAATGAGGTCATCTGAACAAAAAATTATTTCTGTGTGAAAAGGATGGCATATAGGTCATATAGGTGATTCACTTATTATTAAAAACTATCTTTAGAGTTTTTGTTTGTTGGTTTGGAAGTGGAGTTTTGCTCTCGTGTCCCAGGTTAGAGTGCAATGGCGCCATCTTGGCTCACTGCAACCTCCTCTTCCCTGGTTCAAGTGGTTCTCCTGCCTCAGCCTACTGAGTAGCTGGGATTACAGGTGCACACCACCATGCCTGGCTAATGGTGTTGGTCAGGCTGGTCTCGAATTCCTGACTTCACATGGTCCACCTGCCTCAGCCTTCCAAAGTGCTAGGAGTACAGGCATGAGCCACACGCCCATCCTAAAGTTATTTTTTTAATAACTTTTGTCAATGAGTTTTTAGTTAGTTTTTTAAAAAGATAATAGAATTTGTCAGGCATATTTGTTAAAGATTTTTCTATGTTTGAGCCACAAATATTTACTGGGAACCTGACATGTACCAGGCACTGTGCTGCTCACTGCGGAAGACAACAAGATGGCCATGGTCAGCCCCCAGCTGGAGAAGCCCAGGGAGGGAAGCACAGCGCAAGGCCACTTACAAAAGTTATCTTGGAGCAACCCTGCAAATTTGGTGTTTATCATTCCCAATTTGCACTTGAGTACTGCATGCCTCAGACAGGTCACAGAACCATCTCGGCATCAGCTGGACATGTATTGGGAATGCAGAATCTCAGGCCCCACCCAGCACTACTGACTCAGAAGCTGCATTTTACAAGATCCCCAGGGGCTGCATGTGCACACTGAAGTCTGGGGAATACTGTTGTGGAAGCTTCAGAAACTGGAACACATAGCAGAATAGAGATTCCTTCTGTTCTCAGGAGGAAAACGGAAATGGGAACCTTAAAAAATGTTTCATGATTATGTATTTTAAATGATAGTGTTTAACCCAGGAAATAGGCAGACTTAAGAAAACAGAAGAACATTTCCATATTGATGGAAATCTACATTATTCCTAATATTTGGGAATGTATTTGAATCAGTTGACTATATTCTACTAGACTGAGTTATTGAGGTCAAAACCACAATTTATTACTCTTTCTATATGTAGTATGTGTTCCATACTTCATAAAACTTTATGAAAAAAATGAATACAATTCACTTCCCCTTTTCCCACCAAATCTTACATTTTTAGTAAAAACTGGCAAAGAAAAAAAGAAAATACTTGTATTAGAGTTTTCATTAAAAGAAGAAGAAGAAGAGAAAACAAAGAAAGAAAAGAAAAAAAAACAACCACAATTTCCAGGGCTGCTATAATTTCAATTTACACTCAGGGCAAATTTGTATGGCTTCTTCATTGTTAACTGTAAAATTATGACTTTAAGACATGAAAAGATAATAAAATCTTACATTTATGCAAGGGATATGGACTACCTCATTTTTAAAATTCCCTGTTACTCTCCCTTCCCTTTACTCTGCTTTATTTTTCTCTCTTAGTTCTCATTATCTCCTTCGGCACCTGCTGTGCTTGCTGTCTGTCTGCCCTGCTACAGCGGCAGCTCCAGAGGCAGGAGCTGGTTTATTCACTCGTATTCCCAGTGTCAAGAAGAGTCTCTGGCCGGGTACGGTGGCTCACATTCGTAATCCCAGCACTTTGGGAGGCCAAAGTGGGAGGACTGCTTGAGGCTAGGAGTTTGAGACCACCTTGAGCATCATAGAGACTCCATTGCTATAAAACATTTTTTAAAAATTAGCCAGGTACGGTGGTGCCTGCCTGTGGTCCTAAGCTACTCAGGAGGCTGAGGCAGAAGGATCACTTGAGCCCATAAGTTTGAGACTGCAGGGAGCTGTGATCTCCCCACTGTATTCTAGCTCTGGGTGGCAGTAAGATTTTGTTTTTAACAAAGAAAGAAAGAAGAGTCCTTGGCACAAAGTAGGTTCTTGTGGTAGGGCAGTTTTCTTCTTATGTTAAAACAGTAGTTTATTCTATTTAAAGTAAATTTGGCAAATTAAAGAGAAATTTAAAAATCACTCATAATAGTACCACTATATATAATCACAGCTGGTATTGGTATTTCTTCTCTGTTTTTTACCCTGTACATAGGGTGCCAGATTTTTTCCCTCCTAAATATAGTCACACTCATACTGTATATATATGTTTGTGCTCCTTTAAAAAAATCTTAATATAGTACATTTAAGCTTATATATTTTTGTATATTATTTTGTAAGAGTTTTTGACACAAAGATTAAAATTAAGATGGCTGTCTGGAAAACTTTCATTTGCCAATAAATAGGCAGAGAGAAGTTTTGAAAAACTTCTTATTCCCATATAGCTTGAGTTTTTGCTTTTTCTTCTTCAACAGTTCTTATGATGTGGTCTTTTAATATTTTACGTCGAACACCATCACCAAAGCCTAAGCTAAACAAGATCTTGTCTGGAATGTTACAGGAGAGCTTGGCAGTAGATGGGAAGCTGGCCTGCATGGATTTGAATGTCCCTTCTGAACTGCTGGTTCTGGAGTTAGTCAGAAGGCAAACCTACCCAGCTCTGCACTCTGGAGTTTAGCCTAGCATCTTGCTCCTAATTCAGCAAGGCTGTCAATGTCACCAACAGGGCTGTATCTAATCATATGTTTAGTTCAAAACATGTTCACTGCCTGGCAGATCATTAGCCTTTTGCCCTAAAATAGTTAACTTTGTGCCATATGTATAATTAATTTGAATGACACCATTAATAACCAAAACAAAATTTTCTCTGCAAAGCATTAAAATAATTCATGTTCCTTTCTTCTTCTTTCCTTTCCTTCTTTTTTTTTTCTTGCTCTCTCTCTTTCTTTGGCTTGGTATGGAACAAAATGTCTAGAATCCAGATTAAAATAGCAAAGAGAATCTTTGGGCAGCTGCTGCACCACCAGAGCCCTGGAGTGAAATCACTATTTCAAACAAGTATTGCTTTCTTGAGCATATATCACAATTTTTTTAAAAAGCATTAATAGTTTGACAGCTAAATAAGAATGTAGTCTCCCCCCAATATTACACAGATATATGCTCAGAAAATTCTGCTTTATGAAAGACTTTATTATTAGAATTTTAAAAAGGTGGCATTCTTATTAATAGTAAATATGCCGACACTCACTTCACTGTGTAAGATTCTAAATTTATAAATTATGAGGCATTAGCAAAAAGCTTTTACTTGTGTGAAACCAAGAAAACAAAGCTTCATTCATTTGTTTTAGCGGCTCTCTTAGAACATTCTATAATAATTGTGGCTTATCTTTTGGTTGCAACTGTTTATGGCTGTGACAACAAAGTGCTCCCCTCAAACAATGCTATCATTTTGTTTGAGACAGAGTTTCTACAGACCTTTTTGGTGTCTGGCCTTTTTTTCTCATACCTTGTGAAAGCTTTCTATGACCACTGAGGTACCTTCCTGTGACCACACCCAGATGTTTTTCAGTTTTACACTGGTTCCTAAAGCACCTGGTTTATTATGACTATGGTCTAAATTACTTGGTTATTTATTAAATCATAAGACAGAATCAAGTATCCAAGAGAAACCACAGCCTGCACCATCTGCTACTGTTCTCTAGTCAAGTTATTTGAGTAAGCATTTTGAATGTATTTGCCTATTGTTATTTCTCTTTCCTTCTTTCTTGCCTTTGTTTCCTTCCTTTTCTTTTTTTTAACCTAGTTGCAGTCCAAAAATGTTGAGTTTCTTTGAACATTTTCTATGTACTCAGCCTTAGTTCGTTAGATGACACTTCCTAGTCAAATTCTGAGATGTCAGTTTATTACCTTAATTTTTTCCAAGCTCCTAAACAAATACACTGTATTTCTAATGTTCTTCGTAATACTTACAAATAAAGCATTAAACAAAGCTTTTAGGTGTTATCGTCTACTAGACCAGAGGAAAGAACAACTTACTGCTAGAATTATTTTTGCAAGTTTCAGGCTGAGCAAGTCTGAACCAACATCAACTAGTTTATATAGGGTCTTCAGGAGAATACTTCTTTTCTTAAATTTAGTTCCAAGCATGTTTCCTTCCTCTAAGGCATGATGAAGCTGTGTGCAAGCAGCACAAACTGTTTCAATGTTTTCTTCTGTCAGAGCAAAGAGAGTAAAGCAACACTTACTAATTAAGGTTTTCAAGTGTGTCAGAGTGAGTAAAAACCCCATAATTATTTCCTAGATTATCTTCACAATCCCGAACTCTGTATTTTCCTTATCTTATCACTTCCATCTACCTGATTCTTTTCATCTCTTTGAACCATCTCCTACCATGTTGACTTATTGCTTATCGGTCATTAGCTTATCTAGAATACACAGTTTTTCAAAGAGCATATGAAGAATACGACTGCTACCTGCTTTGGTTGGCCTCCTTCACTCCAAATGCCCTCCGCCTCAGCCCACCTCAGCCCGGGCTCTGTTCAGCCTCACAGATGCAGGCCACTTGCATCTTGACCTTCGACTCCTTTTTGCATAGTTCTACTGGCCTACAGTGTTCTCCATAACCCTTATTCCTACATAACCCTCAATCCTCATTCCTTCAAGGGTCTGTTTATGTTGTAGCTGCTTCAGAAAAGATGCACTATTCCTTGTCATCTAGGAAAAGAGGGCTCCAAAGAACAAAAGCTTGAAATGTCACCAAATCTACCATTATCTGGAGGTGGTTATTAGAAAGAAGAAAAATAAAAAGTTTTTTGGGGTTGCTCACATCTGTAATCCAGCACTTTGGGAAGCTGAGGTGGGGGGGGCTTGCTTGATGCCAAGATCAAGGCCAGCCTGGGCAATACAGTAAGATCCTACCTCCAAAATAAAATAATAAATTTTTTTAAGAAGAAGAATATTTAATTAGGAAACAAGGAGATCTAGAACCTTTCATTTTATAATTATGATTGTGAGGAAAGTAATTTTTTTTTTGAGATGGAGTCTCACTCTGTTACTCAGACTGGAGTACAGTGGCACATTCTTGGTTCACTGCAACCTCTGCCTCTTGGGCTCAAGCAATCCTCCTACCTCAGCCTCCTGAGTAGCTGAGACTCCAGACACATGACACCATGGCTGACTAATTTTTTGGTAGAGATGGGGTTTCACCATGTTGCCCAGGCTGGTCTCAAACTCCTATCTCAAGCGATCCGCCTGCCTTGGCCTCCCAAAGTCCTGGGATTATAGTTGTGAGCCACCACACCCAGCCTAGGAAAGTAATTTTTGAAAGTGGTAGCCACACTAGTAGGCATACAAAGAAGAAAAATAGCACACAAAATGGAACAGGAGGGGAAATAAAATAATCTGTTCTGTTGAATGATATCCCTGATAGATAGATTCCTTCATGCAATTTAAAAGTAGGAAACCAATCTTAAATAAATACCATAATGTGCTCTTAGAAGCCCACATAGAGGAAGTGTGTGCCTGCAGAAGGAAGTGACTCAGGCCATTTTTAGCTCTTTTCAACAATAACATCTAAGAAAAAATTTTAAACCTCAATAGCTAAGTAACCTTCAATGTCTTTCAGTTATGCACTTAAATAAATGAATTGATGGGAAATGACTTAGGCTAACTTTAAATAAAGGGAAAAGCCTAAACTCCTATTGTATGAAACACTTGTGTTTTGTTGTTTTATTCTTCTGTGACTGGCAGTTGCTTTATAAACCCTAAGTCCAGGCTCTGGGCCACTCATTGACAGTGGGTGGTTCTCAAAGTATTTTTCTAATACTTCCTTCCACAAACTCTTCAGCCTGGTAGGTTCTACTCAAGAATACTTACTTTTAGCTTTAAAAAAGGTTAGAAAGAAAGGCTCAAGGGCCAAATTTTAAATTATTGATCAAATCAATCCTTTATACCAAAAAGTTTGTTATAAATGCTATATAGCTTCAAAAGTCCACTTGAATCTACGAGCTATCAAGATTTGCAAGGGGCTTAATCTAAGGGAGTAAAAGTTTGATGTGTAACAGAGACCAATGTAATCTCAGAGTAACTTCTATCCCCAAGATATGTATTCATTACAAAGGAAATAATAAAAACTTAACATTGGGTAAAGCAGTGGGACACCACCAGCAACAGAACGAATCAGCGCCGTATACTCCTGAAGCAAGGCACTGAGAGGGACACAGCAGCCTCATGTGCAATGCTGGCCGAAGATGCTAAGCTGGATCTCATCACAGGAGCACATCAGACAAACCCAGTCTGCGGGACAGTCTATAACATATTCCTCAAACACATCAAGATCATGAAAGAGACATGACAAATGATGAGAACTTGTGATCCAAGTTTTTATTTTTTTCTATAAAGGAAATTATTTGGACAAATTGGCAAAATCTGAGTAAGATTTGTATAGTATTGCATAGTAATTTCAAGATATATAAAAGAATGCCTTCGTTTCTAAAAATACATGCCAGCCAGGGCCAGTGGCTCACACCTGTAATCTCAAAATTTTGGAAGGCCGAGGCAGGTGGATTACTTGAGGCCACGAGTTTGAGACTAGCCTAGCCAATGTAGCAAAATCCCATCTCTACTAAAAATACAAAAAAAATTAGCAGGGTGTGGTGGTATGTGCCTGTCATCTCAGTCACTCAGGAGGTAGAGGCACAAGAATTGCTTGAACCTGGGGGGTGGAAGCTGAAGCAAGCTGAGATCATGCCACTGCACTCCATCCTCGGCAACAAAGCAAGACTCTGTCTCAAAAGAAAAAAAAAATTAAGCTGGGCACGGTGGCTCATGCCTGTAATCCCAACACTTTGGGAAGCTGAGGCAGGCAGATCACAAGGTCAGGAGTTCAAAACCAGCCTGGCCAATATGGTGAAACCCTGTCTCTACTAAAAAAAAGAAAATAAATTAGCCGGGCATAGTAGCAGGCACCTGTAGTCTCAGCTACTTGGGAGGCTGAGACAGGAGAATCACTTGAACCTGGGAGGCAGAGGTTGCAGTGAGCCAAGATCGCACCACTGCACTCCAGCCTGGGGGACAGAGCAAGAAAAAAGAAAAAAATTAAAATATGCATGTCAAAGTACTTAGGAATATGGGATATTAGCTTGGCAACTTATTCTTGAAAGTTAGAAAAAAACAACGGTATGTGGGTGGTAGAGTCGTGGTAGAGAAGAAGAGAGTGAGGGGGAAGGAGAGAATGAGAAAGCAAATGTGACAAAGTGTTACTATTGGGGGTTCTGGGTGAAGAACATACAGCAGTTTTGTGATATTTTTGCAACTTTTCTGTAAGTCTCAAACTATGTCAAATGTCAAAAAAAGAAAAAGAAAAAAAAATCTCAAGGGGTCAAGTAATCCAGTCCTGCCACCATTTGCTGGTTTTTTGTTTTGTTTTGTTTTGTTTGAGACAGAGTCTCTTTCTGCTGCCCAAGCTGGAGTGCAGTGGCACAGTCATGGCTCACTGTAGCCTTGACTTCCCAGGGCTGTGGCCCTCCAGCCTCAGCCCATCAAGTAGCTGGGACTACAAGTGCACGCCACATGCCCAGCTAATTTTTGTCATTTTTTGTATAGATGGTGTTTCTCCATGTTGCTAAGGCTGGTCTCAAACTCCTGAGCTCAAGTGATCTGCTTGCCTTAGCCTCCCAAAGTGCTGGGATTACAGGCATGAGCCACTACCTCCAGCCCATTTGCTGTTCTTAAAGTTGTCTAGGGAGAGAGATGCCATACTTCCATGTCTAATAAGCCTTCTCCTTGAGAAGGCGGATTCATCTACATTTCAAATCTCCAGTTCCTCTTAAATTTTCTCTACTTGCGTACATGGTGAGCAGCGCCCTTAGCGCCCTCTTAAAATCCTTCCAGCTGAGCCTGACATGGTGGTATGAGCCTGTAGTCCTAACTACTCAGGAGGCTGAGGTGGGAGAGTCACTTCAGCCCAAGAGTTCAAGGCCAGCCTGGACAACAGGGTGAGATCCCCCTCTCTTAAAAAATTCCTTCTTTCATATAGGAAGACATCCTACAAGAAAGGCCTTAACAATACTGACTCAGTCTCCCCATTCAATGTTTCACAATATACTTTCTTGTTTAACCCTTACCCAGACTCATTGTTCTTCTCACTAATATTTATACATATCTCCTAAAATAAAGGGCCCAAAGCTAACCTGGCACACTAACATAAGGGTGAACATAGTAACACTAGAGGGGAAAAGGTCATCACATTCATATCCTTAGGACTTCTGGCTGCAGAAGCCTGTGGAGATAACCCAGTCTCCACCTCGTTGTCTGGCAGGCAAGGACACTATTGTGCAGAGTCTAGGTGGTCTAGGTGACGCCTCATGGCCAAATGCTTAGTGAGTAGCAGCGCTGGGACCAGAAACCCTGTCCAGGGCTCCCACATTAACCACGAACACAGCCAAGCCCCAATGGGGAGCAGAGGAGGGGTGAGGTCATTTGAACCTTTCAGGTATCAGGTCTTTTGCTGGATGCCCCTGTTTGGTTGCTGGGAGGATTCATTTACCCTGCTTCTCTTAGAGCATCTTCCTGTGGCTACCAAGCTGGTTTGCTCATCAACAATCCCTAGCAAAGGCCTACTGTGCACTGCGTTCCAGGCCCTCGGCCCTCCCTAGGGCTACAGCCACTGCTCCAGAGGAGCCTGGTTCAACTTCAGGAAGAGAATCCCTGAGGAGCTGCAAAGAGGGAGAAAGTGCAGGGCCACCCCGTGACATGCTTTCCATAGCCTTTCAAGGACCCATCAATTATGGGCCTTCACTTCCGGGGCAGCTCAGAGTTCAAGGGTGGGACACATGCCAGGCCATTTCCCATGCTATGGGTGGCATTCCCGACAGATGTGCTCCCTGCAAGAGAGCAGGACACATACCCGTTGGACCAACGAAACCACGGGCACACTTGTCAAGGACTCAAGTGTATGAGACTCAGTTTCCAAGTCTAAAATCTGTTTCAATTTTTTGCTTTCTTGAGTATGAACAGCCACCTGAGAGAGGTTAAACCAAGATGAAAATTAATTTTTATTTCAAAGGAAATTTTAGAAGTTGGCTCTCTTGGTGCATTTAAAGTATACTCTTACTAAAAATTATGTGTGCCTGTAATATTTAAAACACACAGGGTAACAAACAGATGACTTCATTTGTTTTCTGAACATGTTCACAGAAATGATAGTGAAAACTTACTAAAAATATCAGGGCAATGGGGAACATATAAATAACTACAGGTATTTTTTGTAAAAAAACAAAAATAGGATTTTCTTTTTACCCTTTTCTAATTCATGCAAAATCGGTACAATCCTCATATTCCAAAAGGCTTCATCTACTTCTATTTTGGCATCCTTTTCTTGCCGGTCAGCTTTTGAGACTGCAAAAGAAGTCCAGGGCAGAAGAAAAAGCTATGAAAAAGGAGTGGTCATGAAGCACAGTCAAAAGCCTTTACTATTCATCACTACAATAAACTAGAGAACTAAATTACCCTTTGCTCCCCAATCCCAACTATTTCTCATTAGAACTGCAGGTCTTCTAATCAAATTACCCCAAACTAAACTCAGACTGGATTATGTAAAGAAGTCAGAACTTTAAAATATGATCTGCTCACTTCATAAAGTAGTAAGCTTTGTAAATGTTGGTGATTGTCAGTAAGGCAGACAGTTTTGAGTTCTTTTTTACTTAAATTTATCCCTCTGTAATGTAGAATAGATAACTAGAGATATGTAAAGAATAAGAATTTTTAAAATGTGTAATGAAAACTTTTTTAAAAGGGAGACCTAAAAGGTCTTTCTTTTCTATAGAAATAAAATGTTAGTGTGGACACTTTATTTCTGTAGAAAAGAAAGACCTTTTAGGTCTCCCTTTTAGAAATTTTTTTTCTAAAATGCTACTGGGGCCAGTAGCATTAATGCCAAGTGATTTTGTGTGGCGTCGCAGAAAAGCCTGGGGGCTTTTCTCAATGAGGCTGACAAATCTCTATTCAAATCCTAACTCCATCATTGACACGGTGGGTGATTGGGGTTCAATTTCTTACCCTTTCTGAGTTTGTTATCCTTTCATCAGCAAAACAGAGACTATTTGCCTTCAAGGGTATGAGAATTAAGACATGGTATAGGTAAAGCTCTGAGCCCAGTGCCAAGCAATATACAATTTAATTTCATTTCCCTGATTAAATAAGTATACAAACAGGTAACCACCCCTGCAGTATCTCATGACTGTGTGATGCTACCAAGCCATCAAGAGTAGATGCTGCCTGTGAATATGGGCTGTAGGGAACAGCAGCCATTGGCTGTGTACTCTAGATACAGGAGGCCTGCATTTCATTTTTGCAGTAACGCTATGAGGAGGTTCCCACACTGTCCCCATTTTGCAGGTGAAGAAAGTGAAACCCAAATGTAGTAAGTTATCTGCCCAAGGTCATATAGCTTCCCAGCCTCTGCACTTGATCTCAAAGCTATGCTGACTTGGAGCAAACTAGCAGACAGACTAAAGAGTAATGTTGGGGGAGAATAAATGTAACTAATATTAGAAACTGCAAATTATTATTATATCTCACACAGGCAGTATCTCAAGATCTAAAACACTGACTGTAGCTGGAGGTGGCATAACTGTGCCGAGGCATTCCTGAACAGTGCTGGAGAGTGCTGGAGATGTATTCCTCAGTCTCCCTTCTCTAAAGACCACCCCTTCAGTCCTTTCCCTGGCACTTGGTCTATATCAGGTCAGGGAGTCCATGCCCTCTTGGGGCAGGGTAGACCTGGTACCAATTAAGCGTCCACACAGAAGGTGTCTGGACCCTAAAAATGTCACACAAATAGTTAGAAATCAGGAACAATCAGAAGGTGAGAGGTTGGGGGAGGGGGGGAGAGAGAGAGAGAGAGAGAGAGAGAGAGAGAGAGACAGAGAGACAGAGAGACCGAGAGAGGAGCAAACGGGTGTATGACCTGTATGGCTTGTATATTTTCAGGTTACTTTAAACAAAGGACAAGGTGACCAGGTGGCCTGTTAATAGCACAGGTTTGGAGACACCATCTGGGTTTGAATCCTAGCTCTGCCACCTACTAGCTGGTTGACTATGGGCAAATTGCTTCACCTCTCTTCTGTAAAATGGGGTAACTGGTTATCTTTAAATAATGGGATTAGGGGTTAATAATTTCTTTTATGTGCTCTTCTGTATTTTCCAATGTCTCTAATGCATTCTTATTATTCTTGAAGATAAAAATATATGCAACACATCTTAAATGTGTATACCTTAGTTAATATCCATATTAATAATTTTAACACAGTTAAAATAAAATTCTCTGCATCAAGAAATCCAGTAAAGTCCCTTCACCATTATCTGTATAAATAGCAGAAGAATCCAAAGATAACACATAATAGTATATATTAAAAATTTCATTTGAATTCTGAAATGAATCCTCAAACCACCAAATGGTGCTGATGTCACCCAAGGGAAGCAGGGATGCTGCACAATCTACTTATTCCATCCAACACACAGGCCTTCCCCTGTTATACTGCATGCTAGAAATGGCCACTCCCAGTTGCAGCAAGTCCAGGGTTGCCTTTGATCAACACTTCCTACTGCCAAGAGCAGCTGACCCACACAGGGCATCCAAGATCACCTAAGCAGCAAAAGTAAATAGAAAGGGGTTGTCAAGAAAGCTATTATTAAACATTTGCAGTGCAGTAAATAGCCTTAATAGCAAGCTTTCAGATAATCTAATCTAACTCAATGCAAGACTTCAGCACAATATATTACATTGAGTCTTTAGAAAAAATTAGTCCACATCAGTACAGATTCACAATCCCTTATCCAAAACCTTTGGAATCAGATGTGGTTTGGGATTCAGAAACATACAAATTTTAAAAAGTCAACATGGTATACACGTTGCATATAACAAACCACCCCAGTAGGGTCTTCTGGGCAGCACCCTGTAGCAAAATATATGAATATTCACACGAACAAAACAAAGACTCTAACTGGCTTCCCATCAGGCTCAGGGAACTATAGTTTGCAGACTAGTATCTCAATCTTTTGGATCATTGTTTTTATGAATCTGCCTTAACTTTGATAATTTATGGATATGGATTCTAAGGGTAAACATAAATATTCAAGTAATATAAAAAACATAGTTCCTCATATTTGCAGGCAACTAACCTATTCAAAGTCCAAATATTTAAGTCCAAAGTTTAAATATTTTTTATATTTAAAAAATAAAATAAAATCAACTTATGAAGGCAAATGAAAGCCAGAAAATAAGCCAGACAAGTTATTTAATCAACACATATTTATGACGCACTTAAATTTACTAGAAACACAAACTTTGATCCAGTAAGTTCAAGTCTGCATTTTTTACCTTCTATGCAATATGCTGCTTAACAGAGAAGTTCTGTGAGAAACCATGACTATCAACCTGTTTTTTTAAGACAAATAAAATGGATACCTTATCCAGAAAGAGCTGAATTATAAGGGTCAATCACAAATCGCAGAACAATTTATTTAATCCTCATGGGCCCTTCTGAATGTTTCTGAGATTTGCTTCTTCTCAGAACAGAAGTTACTCAGACACTGTGGTATGAGGGTTTCCTTCCAACCCTCTCCCAGGAATCCCAAAGTGCACAGTTGTGTCTGGCTAGAGCCCTCCCACCTCTTCACTCGTCCTGGGCCTCCCCCTGCCTCCATGTTACACACCATCCCTGAGTTACTACAGAAAATGAAGCATGGAATCACATGATTGCTTTTTAAGAGACACACAGATACACAAATTATTATTTGTCTCAATTTTGGGCAACAATCTAATACTTTAGAAAGCACTTTCATTTAGGTTCATGGTTTGCTAAATATAAAAATTATGATTCAACAGGAAATTGGGTAAGTCAAGCAAAAATTTCAGCATGTTTTTGAAGATTTTGCTGTCTCAGTGGTTATAGTTGTTAACCACAGCTTTGAGTTCTGGACACAAAAACCTGACACAATGTTTGGATTGGCTGATGTTTTTAGCATGTAAATGTAAAAATCCTCAGCAACTATGCTATGCTGGATTGGAAATTGGTATATCTAAGATTTTCCTGAGTAAAGAAATTCGCAATGGCGCAAAAGTCATTTTATTGATAAAACATTAAGTTTTGAAGATAATAATTTTTAAAATCTATTATTTAGTATGATAAAATCTCGTGTATAAAAATACATGAAGACTATAACATTCACCACCAGTGGACCCCATACTAGTTTGGTCAGATATCAATATTTTGCCATATTTGTATCCTTTCCCTTATTTTCATCTGAAATAAAACATTACAGATGTGTGCCTCCCTGCATCCACTCCCCTCCTCCCTCTCCCTCCAGGGGTTACCACCATTCTAAATCCACTGGTTACTATGATTACACTTGACTTCACATGTTTACCATATGGCTGTGTATCCATAAACAATATATATTTCATCTAATATTATGTTTGCACTGAATTTACTCAATATTACAATATTACACTTTTCTAACAACTATATTGTATTGCACGAATACATTTTGTATCATTTCTAGAGTGTGGTTTATATTGTTATATATTTTCTCAATTAAACAGTGTAAAGGCCCAAAGGACACTCTTAATAAAATTAACATAGTTTCATTTAAGTAAGCAATTATCTTTTTTTCTTTTTTCTTTTTTTCTGTTTTTGTTTTTGTTTTTTGAGATGAGTCTTGCTCTGTCACCCAGGCTGGAGTGCAGTGGTGCAATCTAGGCTCACTGAAAACTCTGCCTCGTGGGTTCAAGCAATTCTCCCACCTCAGCCTCCAAAGTAGTTGGGATTGCAGGCAGCCCACTCCCTCCCACCATGCCCCACTAATTTTTGTGTGTGTGTGTGTGTTTTTTGGCAGAGATGGGGTTCACAATGTTGGCCAGGCTCGTCTTGAACTACTGACATCAAGTGAGTCACCCGCCTCAGCCTCCCAAAGTGCTGGGATTACAGGCATGAGCCACTGTGCCCAGCTAAGCAATGCCTTGAACTCAAGTTTTGAACCCAAGAACTATGTTAATGTCAAGTTTTACAACTTTCCAAATGCTTTTACAAAATAATTTCTATAAAACCATTAAGACTGTCATCTATAGATGTTTGAAGCATCAGAGTTGAGTAGTGCTAAGATGGTAAGATTGTATGAATATAATAAAAATGTATAAAAATAAATGTTGATTTGTGATCAAATTGGACAAACTTCCTGAAGTTTTCAAACAGTGGGCCCACATAGATATCATCAGTCCAAATGTTTTTCCTTCAAGTGGAGATGCTGTGGAGGAAGGAGTGTGGGGACCCCTCACCTGCTTTGGTTTGCAGCCTGCTCAGCTCTGAGCTGCTGGGGCATGATGACGCCCTTGCATGTCTTTCCCCCTGGTCCCTAGGAGGAATACATAAAGCACTCAGCACAAACATCAAAACACTTCTAATTTTGTAAATGACAAAAGTCTGCTATATACAGTTTCTTATTTATTATTTTGAGATAGGTCTCACCCAGGCTGGTGTACAGTGGTTCTGTGGTCATAGCTCACGGCAGCCTCAAACTCCTTGGTGCAAGTGATCCTCCCACCACAGGATCCCAAGTAGCTGGGACTACAGGCACATGCCACCATGACTGGATACTTTTAAAAAACATTTTGTAGAGACAGGGTCTCACTACATTGTCCAGGCTGGTGATTCCTGGTCTTAAGTGATCCTCCTGCCTCAGCCTCCCAAATTGCTAATATTACAGGTGTGAGCCACTGTGCCCAGTTTCTAAAGAAACCATCGAGAATTGTTTATAAGGTGGGTTTGGTGCTCTATTTGCTGGGTTTTGTTTTGTTTGTTTTTTTTTAAAAAAAGTCTTGCTCTGCCACTCAGGCTGGAATACAGTGGCGCGATCTCTGCTTGCTGCAACCTGCCTCAGCCTCCCCAGTAGCTAAGATTACAGGCACATGCCACCACGCCTGGATAATTTTTGTATTTTTAGTAGCGATGCGGTTTCACCATCTTGGCCAGGCTATTCTCAAACTCCTGACCTCAGGTGATCCGCCTGCCTCAGCCTTCCAAAGTGTTGGGATTACAGGCATGAGCCATTGCACCTGGCCTCTATATGGTGCTTTAATTTACCTTTGATTTTCAAATAAGATTTATCTTTTTAAAACAAGTCATATTTGCCCAACAACGTGAAATACAATAGAAAGAACAAAAAACTCCAGTTTACTTTGCAAATCAAAACTAAATTGGTTAAGAATATATACCACAAGGGGTCACTGTTACAATAAGAATGAACTCTGGGATGCTTGGATTATAAAAGCCTAGCCTTTGGGAGCTGGGAAAGATCTCTGTCTCTTTTTCTGTCTTCCTCACAACCCTGCAGATAAGGAAACTGTGTCCTGGCTGGCCAGATGTGCTCAAGGTCACATAGATTTGGACTATAATATACAAATTCATTTCTCTTTCCACTACATAAAAATGTGCCCTCATTCCACTTCTAAATTAAATTAATATTCTCTGAATATATGTACTTTTAGTAATATCTCAAATGTTTTTTTTTTTAAAAAAACTGAAAATAAATGTGGGCAGTCCCAAGATGTCGAATATTTTATATTTCAAATAAAAGAGCAGTGGCTGGACAATAGCAGGATTATCTGCTCAGATTTTTAAAAAGTTTTATTTAACGTAGAGAAAGTCTCTGAAGGTTATAGCTTCTCTTTAGCCAGAGCTGATACTTAGAAGTACTTACTTTTAAATCTGTACAAAATTCCAAGGTAGAAAAAAAAATAACCAAGAGAAGAGTGCCAGTTTTATATGGAAATTTCTTTTTGGCCATCGAATATAATAGTTGTTCCAAAAAACTAACAAAGAAGGCCTACACATGTGATGGTCCCCGTGGACATCCGCATGTGCCATGGCTTCTGCTTCCTGTGTGGCGAGCCCCCCAGAGACTATGCTGTGTTGCAGCTTAGCCCTTGGCCTTTCCTGCTGCCCTGAAGATCAGCTTTTCTAAATACCATTTTTTTCCTCATAAACATGTTCTCTCAACCCTTTTTTTAAAAACACTTAACACTTTTATCATAAAATAGGAAAAAGATGAAGCTAATTTTCCAAAAATTGTCTAATTAATATTCAGAAACAACTGCTTTATTTGTGCATAATAAAAATATAGATCTGATAGCAAATGTTCCTAGCTGATTGAAAATGACTATGGGACAGGGACCTCTCAAAGGAGGCAGAAATAAAAGAATCAACAAAAGTTTGTCAGGCTGTAGAGACAAGAAGTTCTCATATTTATCACTCCTAGAAATAATGAGAAGGTTTGAGAAGGGACAAGGCCTTCCTTTCAATATATACACCTGCCCTACACAACAATCAAAATCAAGCAAGATACTTTTCAACTAATGGGCTTCCAAAGTCACTGGTCCACTCTCCCTGAGGTCATGGCCAGTGACGAGGTTGCCTACATAAATACCACATGCATGTATCCCCACCTCTAGGGGAAAAAAGGAAGTGTCCTTCTTATATGCAAAAGCTCAGCAGTGCTGGGCCTCCCAGTTCTCAAGAAGAGCATAGGACTAACTAACTCAAGATGAATTAAAGACTTAAATGTAAGACCTAAAACCATAAAAACCCTCGAAGAAAACCTAGGCAATACCATTCAGGACATAGGCATGAGCAAAGATTTCTAAAACAACGAAAGCAATGGCAACAAAAGCCAAAATTGACAAATGGGATGTAATTAAACTAAAGAGTTTCTGCACGGCAAAAGAAACTATCATCAGAGTGAACAGGCAACCTATAATATGGGAGAAATTTTTTGCAATCTATCCATCTGACAAAGAGCTAATATCCAGAATCTACAAAGAACTTAAACAAATTTACAAGAAACAAAGCAAAACAAACAACCCCATCAAAAAGTGGGCAAACAATATGAATAGGCACTTCTCAAAAGGAGACATTTATGCAGCCAACGAACATATGAGAAAAAGCTCATCATCACTGGTCATTAGAGAAATGCAAATCAAAACCACAATGAGATACCATCTCATACCAATTAGAATGGCAATCATTAAAAAGTCAGAAAACAACAGATGCTGGAGAGGATGTAAGAAATAGAAATGCTTTTACACTATTGGTGGGAGTGTAAATTAGTTCAACCATTGTGGAATACAGTGTGGCAATTCCTCAAGGATCAAGAACTGGAAATACCATTTGACCCAGCAATCCCATTATTGGGTATATATCCAAATGCTTATAAATCATTCTACTATAAAGACACATGCACACATATGTTTATTGCAGCACTGTTCACAATAGCAAAGACTTGGAACCAACCCATCAATGATAGACTGGATAAAGAAAATGTGACACATACACATCATGGAATACTATGCAGCCATAAAAAGGATGAGTTCATGTCCTTTGCAGGGACATGGATGAAGCTGGAAACCATCATTCTCAGCAAACTAACACAAGAACAGAAAAGCAAACACCAGGTTTTCACTCATAAGTGGGAGTTGAACAATGAGAACACATGGACACAGGGAGGGGAACATCACACACTGGGACTTGTTAGAGGGGAGGGGGGTTAGGGGAGGGATAGCATTAGGAGAAATACCTAATGTAGTTGACATGTTGATGGGTGCAGCAACCCGCCATGGCATCTGGATACCTATGTAACAAAGCTGCATGTTCTGCACATGTATTCCAGAACTAAAAGTATAATAAAATAATAATAATAATGTCAGGGAAAAAAAGCACAGGATTGGGATTAACCACTATTCTATGTGATCATCATGGTGTGGTGGGGTGAGTATGTGGGCTCTGAACCCAAGCTGCCTGAGTTTGGGTCCTGGGTCTAACTTATGTCAGCACTGCGACCTTGGGCAAATTACTTGGCTTTGGTTTCCTCATCATTAAAAAAATTTTAAAAAAAAATAGAGATGGGGGGCTCGCTACGTTGACCAGGCTGGTCTAAAACTCCTAGCCTCAAGGAATCCTCCCATCTCAGCCTCCCAAAGTGCTAAGATTACAGGTGTGAGCCCCTGTACCCAGCCTGGTTTCCTCATCTTAATTCGAGGGCAGTACAGTGATGACGTTGGTAGAACTTAATAAACTGAGAATATGAATTTTCTCTTTCCTTTTGAGTCAATAATCACTTGTCTAAGCAGTCCAGAGCCAAATGTTATTGAGCTAAATAATATGCATGGTATTGCCCTGATGAAGTTTAAAATCTACTCTGAGGAATTAAGGAAACACTGTTTTCTAATGGAAAAGTCCAATAGAGTTGTTAATAAAGTGCTAGAATGTGAAATTCAACAGATGGCAAGAACTAGAGGGTGCTAAGAAGGAAGTGATTAGTGAGTGGGAGAAGTGGACCACAAAATGGGCCTTAAAAGAGTAAAAGTTGGCAGTGTGGTGGCTCATATAATGCCTAAAATGCACTTTGCGAGGCCTAGGTGAGCCAGGAGTTTGAGACCAGTCTGGGCAATATGACAAGACCTTCCCTCTACAAACAATTTTTAAATTATCTTAGCATGGTGGTACATGCCTGCAGTCTCAGCCCCTCTGGAGGCCGAGGCAAGAGGATAGCCTGAGCCCGGAAGGTCAAGGCTGCAGTGAGCTGTGACTGTGCCACTGCACAATCCAGCTTCGGTGACAGAGTGAGGCCCTGTCTCAAAAATAATAAAGGACAGGCACGGTGGCTCATGCCTGTAATCCCAGCACTTTGGGAGGCCTAGGAGGGCAGATCACCTGAGGTCAGGAGTTTAAAACTAGCCTAGCCAACACAGCGAAACCCCATCTGTACTAAAAATACAAAAGTTAGCTGGGCATGTTGGCAGGTGCCTGTAATTCCAGCTACTCGGGAGGCTGAGGCAGGAGAATCACTTGAACCCGAGGGGCAGAGGTTGCGGTGAGCTGAGATCTCGTCATTGCACTCCAGCCTGGGTGAAAGAGCAAGACTCCGCCTCAAAATAATAATAATAAAAGAATAAATGTTAAACCAGCAAATGACAACACCATTCTCAGAAGGGGATAGCATGAGTAAAAATAAAGACAGATTTAAGCAGCCTGATACTGAGGGCAGGGGATAAATGCCCATGGGAAATAAGACAGTCACAGAAGGTTTCTACTGAGAAGTATTGGAAGGAAACAGTTGCCTGCCACTGTGGGTTCAGTAAATGAACCTGATTTGACAGGCAATAAGGAACTATCATAGGTTCTTATACAAGGAAGTGATGGGATTTGGGAGCGTGTGATGACAATTTAGGAGACTTGGAGAGAGGGAACAAGGACTAATCTGAGGGTGACAGTGGAACTGGAGAGGAAGGAACATATTCAAGAGTTGAACATATTCAAGGGTTGACAGGATTTGGTGGCTGATTTCAGGCAGAGGGAAGA